GAGGCTTTTTTGCACTGGGGCCAGCACCCTGCAGAGCCGCTGGGACCAGGGTCTTCTTAACCTCAGGTGGACAATTTCAGCTTCTTGATGATGTGAGAGCTCCAACTGTGCGGCATGATGGTGGTCCAGCAATCCATGTGACAATTTCATTGTTTTTGGTGGCTGTACTTGCCATTAAGGGCTGTGATGGGACGGTTCCAACTGTGTGGCAAGGTGGCCCAGTGTTCCAGTGGTCAAGTGATCCAGTGGTTTACTGGACCAATATGTCAACAGGCAAAACTCCCAGTCTGTTGTATGTGAGGTGGCCTGGCAGTGCAACCCATGATGATCTTTCTGAGTTCAGTGCTGCGCAGGCAGTGGCTCTGCCTTGCCTGGCGTGGGCTTTCAACACCATGCCTTTCCATGCGGTCCTGCCCCTCCTTCTCAAAGCTTAATTGATAGCACAACAGTGGCTTTGCTTAGCACAATATGTGGCTTGGAGTTCCTGAGTGATTGGAGGTGTCTAGTTAAGAAACCATGCACTCTGAAACATGCAGCTGTACTCGCAAATGCGCCAGGCAGACCTCCTCAGGCTGCAGGGCAAGCCGCTGCAGCTGCTGCTTGCACCAGGGCATGTTCCATGTTGGCATGTAACATGTGCTTTGGACATGCCACTCCTGTGCTTAGCTCTTGAGCACAGGAGCTTCATGTCAGAAGCACATGTCAATCTTCTCAGTAATATGAACATGCACACACACACACAAGCACACATGTAACCAATGAGGGCAAACAATGCACCACGTGCGTGTCACAAGCATAGTGCCTACCCACCCAATGCTCACTGTATTGTAACCATATCAAGCACTTAATCAACGCACATGTGTGGAAGCTATGCAAGCAACTTACCAACCCTCATGTGTGTAGCAATGAGTCTGGATGCGTGTGAATCTGTAGATAATGGCTCTGTGCTCCTCACATGCGTCTCGTGTTTGCTAGAAACACATGTGAAGCATCTGAGAAACACTGGGCACTGAAATGCGCATGGTTTTATGGCCATTTCTTGGTTTATGGTAAACACGTACATGGCATGATCATGCCGAATTGTTGTGCCAAAATGGTGCACATAATGTGCACACATGCTGTATACCAGTTACCTTTTGCTAGTATACCACTTACATGGCTCAGAGTTTTAGGTCAGTTTGGATGGAAATAAATTTTATGGGTTCCACTGAATTCGATTGGTTTCATTCCATTTACTAGGGCCATCTATTGGGTCGGGCGTATCCAACTTTGCAAGCTTCAAGTTTTGAATCCTTTCTCGCGAGCGCAATTCCGGCATTGCCTGAAACTGGTTCACAAAGGCCGACACTTGATTTACAAAGTGGCCTTTAAGACCACTGTTTTTTTGGAGGCTACCCTTTTCAGGCTGGCTTCAAGGGAGTCCAAAAGGACAATCACAATTGTTGGGTTCCCCAATTTTGACACACACACACCCATATGGCAGTTTCTCAGTATGGCCAAGCCAAAGGGTGTTTTGTTGCCCAGCCCCGCGCGTCACACGCTAGTCGCACTATGCCAACCTCCGGGCGGAGCTGACCGCGATGCAGGAAGCCCAGGACAGCCGAAGGGTGGAGTTTCAGATCTCATGGGCCTTGGTGTTGGGCTTTCCCCAGGCCCGGGTGTTGGTGGCTAAGTTTGCAGCTACGTGCAGACAGAAAGTCCTGGAGCAGCGCGGTTGGAGGGCGCGACTCTCTTCTCTACCTACTTACTGAGTAAGTGCACTCAATGATTGTGGGGGGAACTGCGGAGATCACAGTGAGCCGCCAGAGTGAGAACCATGGACAGAAAGAGTCAGGCGTGCATATGTTTCGTCAAATTCTTTGTGAACATCGACGCGCGATTTGTCTGGGGGAGCCCCTTGCTAAGGCCTTATTTCTTTGAAGATCCCTGAGGACATCCACTTGGTCTGGAGGAGCCCCCTTCATCCGCCCAAAAGTTGTCACGCCCCTTCTCAGATCCCCCGAAAAGGTTCCTTCTAACCTTTGGGCGGGTGTCTCATGAAAGGTGACCATCCCTCCTGCTACAATGGTACCGGAACTTCATCTTTTAAGTACCCTCCACCCTGCAAAAGCTATGCCAGCGGGAGGAGGGGAACCCTATTTGAGTCACAATCAAAACCCGTGAGTAAGGGGCAGTCGCCTGAAATAGTTGCGGATATCCGCCTTTTCAATTCCTTACATTGATGATGCTAGGTCCCCCAGTAGTGCCCTTTCTCACTATTTTTTTGGTTGGGAGGGTTCCCCTACTAAAATCGACTACAGAAAAACGGGTACCCTTGTTCTAGCCTCTCAAATCTGGAGGACCTAGGATGACTGATTTGTCGTTTTTTTTTTGGGGGGGGGGACAAAGGAAGAAGACAACCCCCCCCCCCCATTTTCCATCACCAGGATGGCGACCACCTGCGGCGCCAAGGCACCGAGCATTGCTGGCCTGTTTGGAAGCCTGTCATTGTTGGGGATTTCAGATTTTAGCCTAATTTTTCTTGGTGTTTTTGCTGGGCAGTTATGCTGCCCAGTTCAGATTCCAGTATATTTGTGTTTTTGTTTGGAAGCCTGTCATTTTCTTAGCTTGCCCAGTGTTTCAGATTTCAGCCTCGGTGTTGGGCATCCCCCGCATCGGGTGTTGGTGGTTATTTTTTGTTGCCCGTTGGTGCCAATCCATTTTCAACTTGTTGGGAGGGGTTCCGATTCCTTTAAAGTCAATCGACCAAAAAAGGATGCTCTATTTTTTTCCCATGGCCACTGGGCATCTGAGTGAGGGAACATCAGGGAGGCTGGAAAATACAAGGCTAGTGGTGGTTTCCCTTTTTACCGCCATTAGGAGCATTTGGCAGGTTTGACCCGCACATTTCGGCAGCATTGACATGTTTGGCTGCTAAGTAGCCCATGATTCTTGATTCGCCCAAAGCGAAGCCAACAAGGGGATGGGTAATGTTCAACGTTTTCCCATCATACCATGGCAGTGGCCACACAGTAGAAGGAAGCAAACGGGAGGTTGCAATTGGGGGTCCCCTCATTTTGAGGGCCCGTTTGTTCTGAACCAATCCTTTGTCCTTATGCCAGGGTGGTGGTTTCCCTTGTCGTGTTCCTCTATGGGTTGCAGGAACCGAGGCATCCCAATTTGGAGCAACATCAATCGGTCCACAAGACAATTTGACATTGATCATGATTGATCCATCATAAGATTTCATCACTT